ATAACTATATTATTATTTTTAGATTTGTTCAATAAAACTAAAGAAGGTTTCTACTGGTGTTAATAATATTCTTGCAGCAAATCGGGCTCGCGAAAAATATTTAAACGGAAATAAAAATGAAAAGGCGGTTAATAAACAATTAGCGGATAAGCATCACCTTGAGGAACATGTGACCGATTTCAGAGAGGATTACCGGACGAATAGGGACTAAACATATTACGATGAAATATTGAAAGATGTTGATGATTTGTGGCAGGATCTGAAAGCGAGGCATCGCCAAATTATATCGTGCTACTATTCTACAGATGGACTCAAAGAAGATTACGTAGACAAGAACGTCTTTAAACAAATACGAGAGTTATATCAGACAAGCTACAGAGAAATAGAGCGTAAAATGAATTCAAAGTTTCCTATAAGCGATTTGAATCATGGCAGCAATCAAACTTTGAACACCTCGCAGGAAGTGAAATCCATGGCTGTGAAACTACCGAAAATTACGTTGAATAATTCGATGAAGATTACACGAAGTGGCCATCTTTTTAATGACTTATTTCAATCATTGGTCGACTTTTATGATATGTTGGCACCTGTTCAAAAACTACAGTATCTAAGGTTACATCTTGTGGGTGAATCGGAAAAATTACTACGACCTTTTCAAGTAACTGATAGCAACTATACTGCAGCTTGGTCCACATTAAGAAATCGCTATGATAACAAAAGGATACTCGTGAATATACAGATTACAGATATTGTTAAACCAAAACACAATCTCACATGAATCCGCCACGGGAATAAGGAAACTACTCGATACAACTAACGAATGCCTGCAAGCTTTAACGAATATGAGGGTGGAGGTTGAAGGCCTGGACCCCATTTTAGTTTATCTGACAGTGCAAAAACTTCCATCAGAGACTCACTAGTTATGGGAGCAAAGTATAGGTTGCAACAAAAATATTCCATCATGGGGAGAACTCGCGCAGTTTCTAGAGACAAGATTTAGAACACTGGCAGCTATTTCAACAAAAAAAGGTCAAAGTTGACAGGATCGAAAGAACAATTATAACAATAACCAAAAAATTAAACAAAATTCATATAACTTATTCGCTACTACATCTGCACTTTGTGTGAATTGTAATGAACCTCATCATATAAAAATTGTAAAAAATTTTTAAATAAAGAAGTTGAAAAAACAATAGAATTAGCAAAACTTAAGAATCTGTGTTTACATTGTTTAGGTAATGGTCATAGATTTTCGACTTGTCAAAGTAAAAGTAAATGTATGTTATGTAATAAAAATCATCACACCTTACTTCATCGTACGTATGAAACTTCCCGAGATTTTCAGCCACTTAGAATGATACATACATGGAAACAATGACAACATACCAGGCACATCTTTAAATGGAGGATCCTCGCGAGCTGATCAGATTTCACCTATACAAAATGACATCCAGTTTCAGGTATACGCAATTAATAAAACGAATCAGTCGTCGCAAATATTGTTGGCTACCGCACTTGTCAAAATAATTAATCCGATTTCTGGCTGCTCGAGCTTTAATTGATCCGAGGTCCCAGGCATAATTTTTAAGTGAGACTTTGGCTCAACAAATTGGTTTGAAGCGGAAGGAAATCTGCGCACAGATACATAGTGTTGGAAAAATATCAATTGCTCAAATTAAATTTTCAGCGAAATTCTTCTTGGGCACTTTGAATCATAGTGATCTAGAACGGATTGAAGTCACTGATCTATTATTGCAAAAACTCACGCACATGATACCAGAAAAAGTAGTGATTAGGAACGATTGGATGCATCTCAGAAGATTAAAACTGGCTGATCCAGAATATTATATTCCGTCTAAGGTGGACTTGCTTCTGGGTGCTGACGTTTATACTTTTAAATGGCGTGGAAAAAGGTCTAGTTGGTTCACCCATTGCCCAGAAAACAATATTTGGATGGATTTTGTCTGGAGAGGTACAGGAATCAAGTCACGCAACTAATTTTATCTCAAATTTCCATACATGCGATAATTTAAATGAAGAACTCAAGAAACTCTGGGAGATCGAGGAGGTATCCACTAAAAAATTACTCACTTTGGAGGAAGAACAATGTGAATTACATTTTATGAGAGGTTGAGACCTGAAAGTGATGAAACTTCTCTGGGAAATCACGAAATGTTGCTGTTAGTAGATTATTGGCAATGGAAAGTGCAAGAATATCTAGATATGGGGCACATGGAACAATTGAATGAAACGGGCGTTGATTTGGAACTTCCAAAGGATTGTTTGGCGTGATTCTCCGGATAATTCAATACAGGATTTTAAATTGACAACAGTCACTTTTGGAACAAAATCAGCTTCCTATATTGCAACTAGGGTTTTAAAGCTACTTGCCATAGATGAAGGTCATAGGATCCCTCTTGCAGCTGAAATAACATTGTCATCCTTTTACGTTGATGATCTTCTATCGGGATCAGATGACATAAAAACAGGTTTAACAATGCAAAAGCAATTAATTGAATTAATGAGAGCTGGTGGTTTTACACTGCGAAAATTGGCTTCAAATTCACAAGATCTTTTAAATGCTGTGCCGAAGGAACACCGTGAGATCAATTTTCCGTTAAATATGAGTGAAGATGAAACAATTCGTGTGTTGGGTATACAGTGGAATCCATCCACTGATCGATTTGTATTTGCAACTAATATTAATATGTCTCAAAATATAATATGGACAAAAAGAAAGGTTTTATCTGAAATAGCTAAGCTATTTGATCCTCTTGGTTGGCTTGCACCATCAATCGTTTTGCCAAAAATGATCATGCAACGATTTTGGCTGTCTGGAGTAGATTGGGACGAGGAAATAACAGGTGAAATATGTAATGACTGAAAAAAATATTGTGATGGATTTCAAAAAATTCAAAATATTCAACTGAATCGCTGGATTTTCTATACAAAAAAACTGTAATTCGATAGAGATGCATGGCTTTTCGGATGATTCAATAAAGGCTTATGCAGCAGTAGTTTATCTTTGCGTTACAGATTCAGATGGTAAACGATATGTGAGTTTGATTGCAGCAAAAACTAAAGTAGCACCGATAAAAACAATTTCACTACCCCGACTTGAACTAAATGGCGCTTTATTATTAGCAAAACTTATAAAATATGTGATAACTGCTCTCAATTTCGGGCAATCTTTTCATGTAAAGGCGTGAACAGATTCGGAAATAGTGCTGGCATGGCTTTGTAGCAAATCGCGTAACAGAAATCCATGAAACTCTTGGTGAAAATGTTTGGTCACATGTTCCGTCGAAGGAAAACCCAGCTGACTGCGCATCTAGGGGAGTTTATCTTTCAGAATTACAGCACAATATAAAGTGGTGGAAGCCTACATGGCTTAAAAAACCAGAACAAAATTGGCCACGTAAGAAATTAGCTAAGACAACTGATCTCGAAATAAGAAAAACAGTTTACTTATCTACAAATTGCCAGGACGTCAATGTGCTATCAGAAGTATTGAACAAACAATCAAGTTTGCAAAGATTATTGAGAATTTTAAGCTACATGCGAAGATTTATCAAAAATTGCAGAAATCCCTCAAATCAAATTAAATTAAAATGCATCACATCAAAGGAAGCCAAGGCATCGCTGTATGAACTCATTCGTTTTATACAAGGACAACACTGCGGCTGAACGTAAATTTTTGAAACAACAGGGCTCGGTATCAAGCAAGAGTCGATTGGCTAAATTGGTCCCGAAAACACACAAAGGAAAAAGTCCAAAAAAATATAAGTCATACCTAGCTTTATTCGTATGTATGGTAATCAAGGCTATTCATCTAGAAATAGTCACCGATTTGAAAGCAGATGGGTTCATCGTAGCGTACCGATTTTTTAAAATGATTTTGTTGCGGCCAACAAAATCATTTTAAAAAATCATCATCTAATGCTGAATCAACTCAACATAGATATTACTGGCGCTTTTGAATCAGGTGTTATATTTAATTTTATCCCCCCTGGGTCCCTACATTTTGGTGGTTTATGGGAGGCAGGTGTGCGTTGAACAAAACTGCACTTAAAAAAACTGTTGGCAACAGTATATTAACTTATGAGGAATTCTCAACATTAATATCACAGATTGAAGCATGCCTCAACTCGAGACCATTATGCGAAATAAGTAGTCATCCAAATAATTTAACCGAACTCACACCAGCACATTTTTTAAATAGTGATAATTTGATCACACCACCGGATTCTTCAGTATTGGATTTGAAAGTTAATCGTATGGATCGATGGCAACATTTGCAATTCCTACTTCAAATTTTTTTGGCACAGATGGAATAAGGAGTATTTGAACCGTCTCCAACAAAGACCAAAGTGGAATAGAAAAATTGAAAATATTAAAATAAATGATTTGGTTTTGATAAAAGATGAGAATCTACCTCCAACGAGATGGCTACTTGGAAGAATTATTGAGGTACATCCTGGTTCAGACGGATTAATTCGGGTAGTGCAGGTAAAAACAAAGGGCGGAATCCTGAAAAGATTAATCGCTAAAATATGTTTGTTACTTATGGTTCGTGAACCGGAGCTATTTCAAAGGTAAGTATAATATTTCCACCGGAGCAAAGTAGGTTTTGTAGTTACCGTGCCTAACTAACTCAACTTGAATGCTACAACTACTTAATCTAACTAACTTCGACTAAGATGTTAAACCTACTTAAGCTAACTAACCTCAACTTTGATGCTACAACTACTTAGTCTAACTAACTTCAACTTAGATCTTACACCTACATAGGCTAACTAACCTGAACTTAAATGTTATGCCTACTTAGTCTAGACTAACCTCAACATTGGTGCTACGTCTTCTTAGCTACGCTAACCTCAACTTAGAATACTACTAACTTATAAATAGTTTTTTATAATTATTACTAATATGTATTATTTTCTTTTTCTTCACCCGTCCAACATCCTACATTCCTTGATTGCGAGTCAAGGCGCTATAACATCTTTTCCTTCACTTCCTTTTTTTTATCTTATCGTTTCAAGTGACATCATATAAAACCTAAAAGAATACAAAGCGACTTTAGGAAAGGCCTAAATGCAGAAACAATATAAGATCAACTTTTTGGAACGACTACTAAATCTTTAAGTTACCAATTTACACACTATTAGTTACCAACGATGTTCAAAGGCGATTCCAACGGAACCCAGCATCATTCACATATACAAAGACTCATCGTTCACTAATTTATGTTCGCATAGCCACCGACTATCAACATAGCGAACATCATCAAATGCAGTCAACAAATCAGCAGCAGTAGCGTTCACTCACATGCCAGCATGTTTTCAGCATTTATCCACATACCTATCACCAGTCATCACAATTACTAATCCCTGCTTTAACTCATTTAACTGGAAAGCATCACTGGAACGAGTAGCCTTATATAAATCATTTTAAAACGGCTTCGTATTCTGCACTTTCAAAATTTAATGACAACAGCGTGCTAGCAATAGCAGTAATAGCAACACCAATTATTAAAATTTCAAAAAAAAAAACGTAATTGTCATCTTGCCGCTTCACAAAATAATTCGTTAGATTCAACACATTACATTTTTAAATAATTAATTATGAAAACGCAATTACACAATCCGGAGTTGATCGACACATGTATTATATTGTCAATCATTTCCATCGCGATGTCAATGCTGCCACGGCCGGGGGAATGTTTCGGCTTCACCTGCAAAATGAGATAAAAAAAAACACAAAGAAATATACCTTTACAGAATTAAAATTGTGGAATACATATCTGAACAAAAAATAAAAGCCTATTTGGTCCTCAGATCTGTATTGATATTTTCATACCTATATTTTAATGCATTAACCTGAAAAATAAATAATACGCATGATTACACATACAATGCAAAAATTGAATTAGAAATCAAGTTACCTGCGATGAAATTTGGTATTTACTTGCTGTTTAGCAAATCATCTCTGCTTTAAAACATTAATCAATTAATCATCTTTGATTTCCTGCAAAAAGAAAGATATAATAAATAACCATGACACTAGAATTTAAAAGTAAAATATTATACTTACCAAATTTATCCATCTACTTCGAAAGTTTATTTTATTTACTAATTGTCAAAATAATTGGGTCACTATGTCAACGCAAAATTATTAACTGGCACAATTTGTAAATTTGGGTAAAAGTAGTCATATATTAATTCTTTGTTATGATACTTATAACAGATTGGCAAAACTAAAAGGTCATGCGTAATAACATAACAGAAAGTTATGCTGTTAAAAAAGAAAGGTATATAATAATATTGAACATATGATCATGTAAAGTATATAAATAGGTCAACGCACTAATTGTTAATGTAGCACTCGATTGTATACATACATACATGTATGAATTATAGCATTATGAATTAAGGTAAAAAGAGTATGTATTGCAATAGCAGATTGCGGTGTATTTAATAAAAGGCAAATTAACAAGAAAAGGTACGATGATGGCAAGATTTGGAGGCAAAAAGGTACCACTAGTTTTAAACATTATAAGAAGCAAGGACGGTTTTTTCCAGAAGTTATTCGAAAACAAGTATTCAACCAAAGAGTATCATCATAATATATTTTACTAAAGTTTACCTTAAATTCAATTTTATTTAAAGTATTAAATTCTAATTTCCTAAAACATTAGTATGTGTTAAATTGTATTCAATTATAAAATAATATAAATTCGAAATTTTTTAAAAAGTAATGATTTGTTTTATAAATATAAATTTTATTTAAATGAAAAAGTGTTGTTTCATACGTTCATAATAATATATACAGACAATAGACATTAATTCGTAATAGTGAATATTGACCTAATTGTAAATAAATTAACTGCAATGAACAAATGAAACAATGTGTTCTTTATTGAGTGATATTTAGATTTTACATTACGATAAAATTAAAACTAAGAGTTTTTATGTATGATTTGTTCGACAAAAAAAGTAAATACTGCAGATCCAATAATTTGTCAAAAATTATGTTGTGAAAAGGAGAAATTGAAGAGCTCGATAGCTGGAACATATTTAGGTGTTTCTTGCTTTTCTTAGCGGATTCCTTTAGCACGGAACATTTTGGTCCTTCGAGCCGGATAGCTGGTATTTATTGGCGAACAAAATAACAGAATTAATATTACAATAAATTCAAGGATAGCACTGGAAACCAAGGTAATGTAAAAGTCTAATTTCATTACATTAAGGGACAGAGTGTTTTTCTTACTTGTTGCATATATCAATTTAATAATTATAAACTTTAAAAGTAAGAGAAAGTATTAAAAGTGAATTGTACTTTAAATTTAAATGTGAACGGTAAATTATCGAGCATTGTACAGGTATTCTTTAAAATATGCACTTTCTATTTATATATTACTGTTTGTAAAACAAGGAAAGAAACAATGAACTTAAAATTATAAATTATTAAATTCAAGTTGATACGAAAAAAAGTGTTTGGAATTTCGCACACTAACGGTGTCGATTACGCGCACTATCGGTGTCGAATCTATTTCAAGGCAAATAAAACGAGGCTGTGGTTTCAAAAAGAAAAAAATTTTGGATAAATTACGCGCGCTAACGGTGCCAAATTTATAGACAATATTTTTTTTGAATATCAGTAAAATATTTGCTAGCAAACTATAATTTTTTGAATAAAATGAAATTATTGAAAAAAAAACGAACTGTGTTAAAAAATTTAAACTAACGGTGCCAAAATTTATTAAGCTTTTATTTCTTTGAAGTACATACGGAATTTTATTAAGGAGTTGTGAATTTCGGAATAAAATGAGAATTATTTGAAAATTGTGATCCTAAGAATGTGAATTCAAAAAAAAATAAAGAAATAACATAAAAACAATTTAAAACTGTGAACTCGAAACTGTGAATAATTGAATTGTGATTTATAATAAAAAAAGGAAAAGAAGGTTAAAGAAATTTCGCACACTAACGGTGTCGATTTTATACTGGTTGCAGTAACGCGCACTAACGGTGCCGATTGGTTTGACTATCAATAAATTTTTGCTATAATAAAATATTTTGATTGGCTGTCTTGAATAATAACTATATTATTATTTTTAGATTTGTTCAATAAAACTAAAGAAGGTTTCTACTGGTGTTAATAATATTCTTGCAGCAAATCGGGCTCGCGAAAAATATTTAAACGGAAATAAAAATGAAAAGGCGGTTAATAAACAATTAGCGGATAAGCATCACCTTGAGGAACATGTGACCGATTTCAGAGAGGATTACCGGACGAATAGGGACTAAACATATTACGATGAAATATTGAAAGATGTTGATGATTTGTGGCAGGATCTGAAAGCGAGGCATCGCCAAATTATATCGTGCTACTATTCTACAGATGGACTCAAAGAAGATTACGTAGACAAGAACGTCTTTAAACAAATACGAGAGTTATATCAGACAAGCTACAGAGAAATAGAGCGTAAAATGAATTCAAAGTTTCCTATAAGCGATTTGAATCATGGCAACAATCAAACTTTGAACACCTCGCAGGAAGTGAAATCCATGGCTGTGAAACTACCGAAAATTACGTTGAATAATTCGATGAAGATTACACGAAGTGGCCATCTTTTTAATGACTTATTTCAATCATTGGTCGACTTTTATGATATGTTGGCACCTGTTCAAAAACTACAGTATCTAAGGTTACATCTTGTGGGTGAATCGGAAAAATTACTACGACCTTTTCAAGTAACTGATAGCAACTATACTGCAGCTTGGTCCACATTAAGAAATCGCTATGATAACAAAAGGATACTCGTGAATATACAGATTACAGATATTGTTAAACCAAAACACAATCTCACATGAATCCGCCACGGGAATAAGGAAACTACTCGATACAACTAACGAATGCCTGCAAGCTTTAACGAATATGAGGGTGGAGGTTGAAGGCCTGGACCCCATTTTAGTTTATCTGACAGTGCAAAAACTTCCATCAGAGACTCACTAGTTATGGGAGCAAAGTATAGGTTGCAACAAAAATATTCCATCATGGGGAGAACTCGCGCAGTTTCTAGAGACAAGATTTAGAACACTGGCAGCTATTTCAACAAAAAAAGGTCAAAGTTGACAGGATCGAAAGAACAATTATAACAATAACCAAAAAATTAAACAAAATTCATATAACTTATTCGCTACTACATCTGCACTTTGTGTGAATTGTAATGAACCTCATCATATAAAAATTGTAAAAAATTTTTAAATAAAGAAGTTGAAAAAACAATAGAATTAGCAAAACTTAAGAATCTGTGTTTACATTGTTTAGGTAATGGTCATAGATTTTCGACTTGTCAAAGTAAAAGTAAATGTATGTTATGTAATAAAAATCATCACACCTTACTTCATCGTACGTATGAAACTTCCCGAGATTTTCAGCCACTTAGAATGATACATACATGGAAACAATGACAACATACCAGGCACATCTTTAAATGGAGGATCCTCGCGAGCTGATCAGATTTCACCTATACAAAATGACATCCAGTTTCAGGTATACGCAATTAATAAAACGAATCAGTCGTCGCAAATATTGTTGGCTACCGCACTTGTCAAAATAATTAATCCGATTTCTGGCTGCTCGAGCTTTAATTAACGAGGTCCCAGGCATAATTTTTAAGTGAGACTTTGGCTCAACAAATTGGTTTGAAGCGGAAGGAAATCTGCGCACAGATACATAGTGTTGGAAAAATATCAATTGCTCAAATTAAATTTTCAGCGAAATTCTTCTTGGGCACTTTGAATCATAGTGATCTAGAACGGATTGAAGTCACTGATCTATTATTGCAAAAACTCACGCACATGATACCAGAAAAAGTAGTGATTAGGAACGATTGGATGCATCTCAGAAGATTAAAACTGGCTGATCCAGAATATTATATTCCGTCTAAGGTGGACTTGCTTCTGGGTGCTGACGTTTATACTTTTAAATGGCGTGGAAAAAGGTCTAGTTGGTTCACCCATTGCCCAGAAAACAATATTTGGATGGATTTTGTCTGGAGAGGTACAGGAATCAAGTCACGCAACTAATTTTATCTCAAATTTCCATACATGCGATAATTTAAATGAAGAACTCAAGAAACTCTGGGAGATCGAGGAGGTATCCACTAAAAAATTACTCACTTTGGAGGAAGAACAATGTGAATTACATTTTATGAGAGGTTGAGACCTGAAAGTGATGAAACTTCTCTGGGAAATCACGAAATGTTGCTGTTAGTAGATTATTGGCAATGGAAAGTGCAAGAATATCTAGATATGGGGCACATGGAACAATTGAATGAAACGGGCGTTGATTTGGAACTTCCAAAGGATTGTTTGGCGTGATTCTCCGGATAATTCAATACAGGATTTTAAATTGACAACAGTCACTTTTGGAACAAAATCAGCTTCCTATATTGCAACTAGGGTTTTAAAGCTACTTGCCATAGATGAAGGTCATAGGATCCCTCTTGCAGCTGAAATAACATTGTCATCCTTTTACGTTGATGATCTTCTATCGGGATCAGATGACATAAAAACAGGTTTAACAATGCAAAAGCAATTAATTGAATTAATGAGAGCTGGTGGTTTTACACTGCGAAAATTGGCTTCAAATTCACAAGATCTTTTAAATGCTGTGCCGAAGGAACACCGTGAGATCAATTTTCCGTTAAATATGAGTGAAGATGAAACAATTCGTGTGTTGGGTATACAGTGGAATCCATCCACTGATCGATTTGTATTTGCAACTAATATTAATATGTCTCAAAATATAATAAGGACAAAAAGAAAGGTTTTATCTGAAATAGCTAAGCTATTTGATCCTCTTGGTTGGCTTGCACCATCAATCGTTTTGCCAAAAATGATCATGCAACGATTTTGGCTGTCTGGAGTAGATTGGGACGAGGAAATAACAGGTGAAATATGTAATGACTGAAAAAAATATTGTGATGGATTTCAAAAAATTCAAAATATTCAACTGAATCGCTGGATTTTCTATACAAAAAAACTGTAATTCGATAGAGATGCATGGCTTTTCGGATGATTCAATAAAGGCTTATGCAGCAGTAGTTTATCTTTGCGTTACAGATTCAGATGGTAAACGATATGTGAGTTTGATTGCAGCAAAAACTAAAGTAGCACCGATAAAAACAATTTCACTACCCCGACTTGAACTAAATGGCGCTTTATTATTAGCAAAACTTATAAAATATGTGATAACTGCTCTCAATTTCGGGCAATCTTTTCATGTAAAGGCGTGAACAGATTCGGAAATAGTGCTGGCATGGCTTTGTAGCAAATCGCGTAACAGAAATCCATGAAACTCTTGGTGAAAATGTTTGGTCACATGTTCCGTCGAAGGAAAACCCAGCTGACTGCACATCTAGGGGAGTTTATCTTTCAGAATTACAGCACAATATAAAGTGGTGGAAGCCTACATGGCTTAAAAAACCAGAACAAAATTGGCCACGTAAGAAATTAGCTAAGACAACTGATCTCGAAATAAGAAAAACAGTTTACTTATCTACAAATTGCCAGGACGTCAATGTGCTATCAGAAGTATTGAACAAACAATCAAGTTTGCAAAGATTATTGAGAATTTTAAGCTACATGCGAAGATTTATCAAAAATTGCAGAAATCCCTCAAATCAAATTAAATTAAAATGCATCACATCAAAGGAAGCCAAGGCATCGCTGTATGAACTCATTCGTTTTATACAAGGACAACACTGCGGCTGAACGTAAATTTTTGAAACAACAGGGCTCGGTATCAAGCAAGTGTCGATTGGCTAAATTGGTCCCGTTTGTCGATACCAACGATATAATTAGAGTGGATGGTCGTTTACATAATGCAATTTCACCATATAACCAGAGGCATCCTATTGTTTTACCTGGAAATAGATTTACATGTCTACTAATTGATAAAATTCATAAGGAAACATTGCACGGGGGTACTCAACTCATGTTAAATTACTTAAATAGCATCTACTGGCTCTTAAATGCAAGAAACACCATACGACATGACATATATAAGTGTATAACTTGTTATAGGTGGGAGGCACCCGCTCAAAAACATCTTATGGCAAGTCTACCAATACCGCGTGTAAGAAAAAGTCGTCCATTTAGTCACACAGGTTTGGATTATTGTGGTCCATTCGAAATGAAAACACACAAAGGAAAAAGTCCAAAAAAATATAAGTCATACCTAGCTTTATTCGTATGTATGGTAATCAAGGCTATTCATCTAGAAATAGTCACCGATTTGAAAGCAGATGGGTTCATCGTAGCGTACCGATTTTTTAAAATGATTTTGTTGCGGCCAACAAAATCATTTTAAAAAATCATCATCTAATGCTGAATCAACTCAACATAGATATTACTGGCGCTTTTGAATCAGGTGTTATATTTAATTTTATCCCCCCTGGGTCCCTACATTTTGGTGGTTTATGGGAGGCAGGTGTGCGTTGAACAAAACTGCACTTAAAAAAACTGTTGGCAACAGTATATTAACTTATGAGGAATTCTCAACATTAATATCACAGATTGAAGCATGCCTCAACTCGAGACCATTATGCGAAATAAGTAGTCATCCAAATAATTTAACCGAACTCACACCAGCACATTTTTTAAATAGTGATAATTTGATCACACCACCGGATTCTTCAGTATTGGATTTGAAAGTTAATCGTATGGATCGATGGCAACATTTGCAATTCCTACTTCAAATTTTTTTGGCACAGATGGAATAAGGAGTATTTGAACCGTCTCCAACAAAGACCAAAGTGGAATAGAAAAATTGAAAATATTAAAATAAATGATTTGGTTTTGATAAAAGATGAGAATCTACCTCCAACGAGATGGCTACTTGGAAGAATTATTGAGGTACATCCTGGTTCAGACGGATTAATTCGGGTAGTGCAGGTAAAAACAAAGGGCGGAATCCTGAAACGATTAATCGCTAAAATATGTTTGTTACTTATGGTTCGTGAACCGGAGCTATTTCAAAGGTAAGTATAATATTTCCACCGGAGCAAAGTAGGTTTTGTAGTTACCGTGCCTAACTAACTCAACTTGAATGCTACAACTACTTAATCTAACTAACTTCGACTAAGATGTTAAACCTACTTAAGCTAACTAACCTCAACTTTGATGCTACAACTACTTAGTCTAACTAACTTCAACTTAGATCTTACACCTACATAGGCTAACTAACCTGAACTTAAATGTTATGCCTACTTAGTCTAGACTAACCTCAACATTGGTGCTACGTCTTCTTAGCTACGCTAACCTCAACTTAGAATACTACTAACTTATAAATAGTTTTTTATAACTATTACTAATATGTATTATTTTCTTTTTCTTCACCCGTCCAACATCCTACATTCCTTGATTGCGAGTCAAGGCGCTATAACATCTTTTCCTTCACTTCCTTTTTTTTATCTTATCGTTTCAAGTGACATCATATAAAACCTAAAAGAACTAGGGGCCCCTGTGGTTTGCTTATAAGCAGCATTATCTGTTGTAAAAACAGGATTGTGGCAATCAATTTTAAAATAAGTTTAGAAAAATTTGTACATATTATGGCATACATATGCAGGTATATACTTGTATATGCATAAATATCATATTGGTTTGAATACTAATGATAAATAAAAGTAATGGAAATATTTTTAATTTAATAAATTTTAAGATGTAATATGTGTCACTGTTAATTACATAGATATGATTAAAATTCAATTTAAGAATTAGTTAACAATTAAGAACGAAAAATTTCCTTATAAACAACGTTATCTGTTAAAATATTTCCATCATCGATTTTTTCCTGACGAACCGTATCTTTGACTTGAATTTTTAAAGAATTGGAGTCTATGGCTCTTGAACATGCTGTGTATGATTGCTCATGCGAAAAGCACGGCTGGGGGAGATAGAGGCCAACCTTTTCAAAAGTTTGCCCTTGGGACTTATTTATAGTCATGGCATATGCAAGACGGATGGGGAACTGATGCCGAACAAAATTAAAAGGAAAGGAAATAGTACCTTTCACATTAAACTTTAAAACCAAAGTGAATGTGAATTAATAAAAAATCAATGCCTCTTTTCTTTATACAGACCTGGCTTGGCTACTTACTCAATTGAAATTTCGCAAGCACACGAAGAATAATTGCCTTAGTACGTAACGTAACGTTATTCGTATTCTTATATCTCTCACAATTTTTAGTTTTATTTTTTTTAATTCCATTCCATGTTAAATACAACAACAAAAAATTATTTTACTCTTACTTAACTCATTTAAAATATTTCGCTTCCTCTTGCTTTTATTTTTGTTTATGGTAGTAAAGCAAAAAAACCAAAAAAATATTACTACTCTTTTTTTATTCTCTTTCGCTTTTCACTTTTCATTTTTTGTTTTTGTTTTACAGTATGTATAATCAATTGAGTAATGTATCTACCCAGTATTCTCTTTTGCTATTTTCATTTTTTTGTTTTTGTTATTTATTAGATTATATGTATACCTGTTCATGAACTGGAAAAATCTTGTAAAATATAATATAGATACAAAGCGACTTTAGGAAAGGCCTAAATGCAGAAACAATATAAGATCAACTTTTTGGAACGACTAATAAATCTTTAAGTTACCAATTTACACACTATTAGTTACCAACGATGTTCAAAGGCGATTCCAACGGAACCCAGCATCATTCACATATACAAAGACTCATCGTTCACTAATTTATGTTCGCATAGCCACCGACTATCAACATAGCGAACATCATCAAATGCAGTCAACAAATCAGCAGCAGTAGCGTTCACTCACATGCCAGCATGTTTTCAGCATTTATCCACATACCTATCACCAGTCATCACAATTACTAATCCCTGCTTTAACTCATTTAACTGGAAAGCATCACTGGAACGAGTAGCCTTATATAAATCATTTTAAAACGGCTTCGTATTCTGCACTTTCAAAATTTAATGACAACAGCGTGCTAGCAATAGCAGTAATAGCAACACCAATTATTAAAATTTCAAAAAAAAAACGTAATTGTCATCTTGCCGCTTCACAAAATAATTCGTTAGATTCAACACATTACATTTTTAAATAATTAATTATGAAAACGCAATTACACAATCCGGAGTTGATCGACACATGTATTATATTGTCAATCATTTCCATCGCGATGTCAATGCTGCCACGGCCGGGGGAATGTTTCGGCTTCACCTGCAAAATGAGATAAAAAAAAACACAAAGAAATATACCTTTACAGAATTAAAATTGTGGAATACATATCTGAACAAAAAATAAAAGCCTATTTGGTCCTCAGATCTGTATTGATATTTTCATACCTATATTTTAATGCATTAACCTGAAAAATAAATAATACGCATGATTACACATACAATGCAAAAATTGAATTAGAAATCAAGTTACCTGCGATGAAATTTGGTATTTACTTGCTGTTTAGCAAATCATCTCTGCTTTAAAACATTAATCAATTAATCATCTTTGATTTCCTGCAAAAAGAAAGATATAATAAATAACCATGGCATTAGAATTTAAAAATAAAATATTATACTTACCAAATTTATCCATCTACTTCGAAAGTTTATTTTATTTACTAATTGTCAAAATAATTGGGTCACTATGTCAAGGCAAAATTATTACCATACATGTAGATTCCATCTACAAATCAAAATCTATTGTGAATGGCACAATTTGTAAATTTGGGTAAAAGTAGTCATATATTAATTCTTTGTTATGATACTAATAACAGATTGGCAAAACTAAAAGGTCATGCATAATAACATAACAGAAAGTTATGCTGTTAAAAAAGAAAGGTATATAATAATATTGAACATATGATCATGTAAAGTATATAAATAGGTCAACGCACTAATTGTTAATGTAGCACTCGGTTGTATACTGTAATTCACACATGTATGTGTGTATTATAGCATTATGAATTAAGGTAAAAAGAGTATTGCAATAGCAGATTGCGGTGTATTTAATAAAAGGCAAATTAACAAGAGAAGGTACGATGATGGCAAGATTTGGAGGCAAAAAGGTACCACTAGTTTTAAACATTATAAGAAGCAAGGACGGTTTTTTCCAGAAGTCATTCGAAAACAAGTATTCAATCAACGAGTATCATCATAACATACATACATACATATGTACATATTTTACTAAAGTTTACTTTAATTTCAATTTCATTTAAAGTATTAAATTCTAATTTCCTAAAACATTAGTGTGTGTTAAATTGTATTGAAATTTGTTAAAAAGCAACGATTTGTTTTATAAATATAAATTTTATTTAAATGAAAAAGTGTTGTTTCATACATTTATAATAATATATACAGACAAAAGACATTAATTCGTAATAGTGAATATTGAATTGTAAATAAATTAACTGAAATGAACAAATGAAACAATGTGTTCTTCATTGAGTAATATTTAGATTTTAAATTAAGATAAAATCAAAACTAAGAGTTTTTATGTATGATTTGTTCGACAAAAAAAGTAAATACTGCAGATCCAATAATTTGTGAAAAATTGTGTTGTGAAAAGGAGAAATTGAAGAGTTCGATAGCTGCAACATATTCAGGTGTTTCTTCCTTTTCTTAGCGGATCCCTTTAGCACGGAACACTAAATTGTTGCTTGGTCGAAGTGATATGAACCGCCGTCATTTGCATTCCCTCGGCATCTCTGTGCAGATCGCAATGCACTACATTTTTATTATTATTATCCTTCGCTATATTTCCAGGGCGGTTCGAAATGTAAATTCTATAACCCGGAAACCGATTCCTGCTTCTTAAGGTCATATGTGTTTCAGTTACGAGGCATTCGTTTACATTCTGTGTATGTAGGAAAACTTCAAGCATGTCCTTTTTATTTGCAATACCATTGCAATTCCATGTTGCTATTTTAAAATTACCTCGTGCCATCATTTACCAGGTCTTTTGGTATTCGATTTTTTCCCTTCGCTCTCTAAAATACTCAATCTCTGAGAGATTTTGTCCATCATATCTAGCATGTTCTGCATCATATTTTGCATTTTATACAAAACATTCACGTCACTGGCCCTTGTTTTATTGCTTGTGCCACCGTCATCGATTTTCGTTTGGAGAACGTCCTTGTATGTTACATCTTTTGAGACTATTCTCGAGGTGAATTGCCTTGGCGGTCGTTCAGAATTCTTCTTCAAGTTGTTGTTGCTGTTCTTATTTCTACGTTTTTGTAGTTCTTTAGCTACAAGGCATCCCCTATAGTTTGTTAGACCCTCGATGACATTCTTAGAAAACACATTGGTACAAGATGCTATGCTATATAGACGATATAATCATCTTGGGAGAGAATGAAGAAAAACACTTTGAGGACTTAGGGACGATATTTGATGCATTGAGTAAAGCAAAAAAGAAAGTACAACTGGATAAATGTGAATTCCTTAGCAATGAAATTGAACTCTTGTGATTTATTGAATCGGAGAAAGGGCTTCAAACCAATTCGAAGAAGGTGCAAGCAATATGTGATTTGCCGATATTCAAAAATTTTAAAGAATTAAGGTTTTTTCTGGGAACACAAAAGGTTTATACAAGATTTCGCGAAAACAGAGACCAAGGTGGACGCGTGTCCAAATTCCAATCTATAAATACATTAACTAATTGAAACGACGAAGCAAAGTTTTTTTTTTTTTTTTACCGAGAGGAAAGGTGAAAAATCTCGAAAGACACTGCCAGACGAAAAGCAGTTGTGTGGAACTTTAATCCACTACAAAACACCCTCCTCAAAATAAACTATAAAAATAATCGGAAACGACTAACCATTAATTTTGCTCTAAACTTCTTGATTATTTATTATTTATAAATTTCAAGCCTTTGATCTGGCACAATAGCGTAGTAAATACTCATTGTTCCAAACTTAAAAACTTTAAACTAACTCGAGAGGTTTCGTACGTTTAAGTCTTCTAACAAAGTTTTGATTGTCAACCAATTGAGCCGCCTTAATGTTGACATGATTGGACAAACGCATCTTATGATATACTGCTTGCTTTTTAATTTCGTCTGTAATACTTAGGATCGTGAGATCCCTGTGTCATATATCGGCATTACGGACATACCAAGGGGCGTTTACAATGTCCCGTAATACTCTATTTTGAAATCTTTGTATAGGTTGGATATGAGTCTGCGCAGCACATGATTATCTCTGCAACTTTTCAAATGCCAGGAACGTAATTAAACCTTATACACGCATTTATTAGGCGCGTAAGCATCCTTATATCCCTTTTGGGTAATTTATTCAAAATATAGGCCGTTATTAGGTCAAACCCTGGAGCCTTTGTAGGTTTAAGAGTCTTGATTTTTTCTATAACATCTCTTTCCTTGACAATTGGAATAGTCACCCAACAAAAGCAGATTCCTCATTTTCATTTGCTAGTAGTTAATGCCTCCCCTTCTAAAAGCATTAATTTTCGAACTACTCCAAGCCGCATTTTGATTAGTTTTGGTAAAGTTTTCTGCCACCTCATCTATGTGCTGGGTCGTTCTTATTCTTTTCCTTAGATCTATTTGTCCTTCAATCTGTAAGCGAAATCTTGACCAATCTGTAGTTCGATTTGTCAGCGCCGGTTCCGCTCTTTTCATAACTATATTTTCCCTAAATTCAAGAATAATCACCGAATGATCGGAGTTAAGATCATGTGCCTCGATGAAATTTTTCGCAATCTGTTTTGCTATGAAGAAATCTATTAAATCTGGAAACTTATTAACATCGGTTGGCCAATACGTTGGCTTCGCAGTAGAGTGAAAAAGGTACCCCGTGCCGCCAATTTCTGTTCTAAGTTCTCTTCCTCTAGTTGAAGTATGCCTTGAACCCCAATCGGTGTGCTTGGCGTTAAAGTCAGCCCCTAATATACATCTATCGCCTGGGTCTGTCAGAACGTTTTGAAACATTTCTGCCGTAATTTTAAATCTGGGGTGACAATATAATGCAGCCACTCTAAATCTTTCGGCTTCACCTGCACCTAAAATGAGATAAAAAAAAACACAAAGAAATATACCTTTCCAGAATTAAAATTGTGGAATACATATCTGAACATAAAATAAAAGCCTATTTGGTCCTCAGATCTGTATTGATATTTTCATACCTATATTTTAATGCATTAACCTGAAAAATAAATAATACGCATGATTACACATCCAATGCAAAAATTGAATTAGAAATCAAGTTACCTGCGATGAAATTTGGTATTTACTTGCTGCTTAGCAAATCATCTCTACTTTAAAACATTAATCAATTAATCATCTTTGATTTCCTGCAAAAAGAAAGATATAATAAATAACCATGACACTAAAATTTAAAAGTAAAATATTATACTTACCAAATTTATCCATCTACTTCGAAAGTTTATTTTATTTACTAATTGTCAAAATAATTGGGTCACTATGTCAACGCAAAATTATTAACTGGCACAATTTGTAAATTTGGGTAAAAGTAGTTATATATTAATTCTTTGTTATGATACTTATAACAGATTGGCAAAACTAAAAGGTCATGCATAATAACATAACAGAAAGTTATGCTGTTAAAAAAGAAAGGTATATAATAATATTGAACATATGATCATGTAAAGTATATAAATAGGTCAACGCACTAATTGTTAATGTAGCACTCGATTGTATACATACATACATGTATGAATTATAGCATTATGAATTAAGGTAAAAAGAGTATGTATTGCAATAGCAGATTGCGGTGTATTTAATAAAAGGCAAATTAACAAGAAAAGGTACGATGATGGCAAGATTTGGAGGCAAAAAGGTACCACTAGTTTTAAACATTATAAGAAGCAAGGACGGTTTTTTCCAGAAGTTATTCGAAAACGAGTATTCAACCAAAGAGTATCATCATAATATATTTTACTAAAGTTTACCTTAAATTCAATTTTATTTAAAGTATTAAATTCTAATTTCCTAAAACATTAGTATGTGTTAAATTGTATTCAATTATAAAATAATATAAATTCGAAATTTTTTAAAAAGTAATGATTTGTTTTATAAATATAAATTTTATTTAAATGAAAAAGTGTTGTTTCATACGTTCATAATAATATATACAGACAATAGACATTAATTCGTAATAGTGAATATTGACCTAATTGTAAATAAATTAACTGCAATGAACAAATGAAACAATGTGTTCTTTATTGAGTGATATTTAGATTTTACATTACGATAAAATTAAAACTAAGAGTTTTTATGTATGATTTGTTCGACAAAAAAAGTAAATACTGCAGATCCAATAATTTGTCAAAAATTATGTTGTGAAAAGGAGAAATTGAAGAGCTCGATAGCTGGAACATATTTAGGTGTTTCTTGCTTTTCTTAGCGGATTCCTTTAGCACGGAACATTTTGGTCCTTCGAGCCGGATAGCTGGTATTTATTGGCGAACAAAATAACAGAATTAATATTACAATAAATTCAAGGATAGCACTGGAAACCAAGGTAATGTAAAAGTCTAATTTCATTACATTAAGGGACAGAGTGTTTTTCTTACTTGTTGCATATATCAATTTAATAATTATAAACTTTAAAAGTAAGAGAAAGTATTAAAAGTGAATTGTACTTTAAATTTAAATGTGAACGGTAAATTATCGAGCATTGTACAGGTATTCTTTAAAATATGCACTTTCTATTTATATATTACTGTTTGTAAAACAAGGAAAGAAACAATGAACTTAAAATTATAAATTATTAAATTCAAGTTGATACGAAAAAAAGTGTTTGGAATTTCGCACACTAACGGTGTCGATTACGCGCACTATCGGTGTCGAATCTATTTCAAGCCAAATAAAACGAGGCTGTGGTTTCAAAAAGAAAAAAATTTTGGATAAATTACGCGCGCTAACGGTGCCAAATTTATAGACAATATTTTTTTTGAATATCAGTAAAATATTTGCTAGCAAACTATAATTTTTTGAATAAAATGAAATTATTGAAAAAAAAACGAACTGTGTTAAAAAATTTAAACTAACGGTGCCAAAATTTATTAAGCTTTTATTTCTTTGAAGTACATACGGAATTTTATTAAGGGGTTGTGATTTTCGGAATAAAATGAGAATTATTTGAAAATTGTGATCCTAAGAATGTGAATTCAAAAAAAAATAAAGAAATAACATAAAAACAATTTAAAACTGTGAACTCGAAACTGTGAATAATTGAATTGTGATTTATAATAAAAAAAGGAAAAGAAGGTTAAAGAAATTTCGCACACTAACGGTGTCGATTTTATACTGGTTGCAGTAACGCGCACTAACGGTGCCGATTGGTTTGACTATCAATAAATTTTTGCTATAATAAAATTTTTTGATTGGCTGTCTTGAATAATAACTATATTATTATTTTTAGATTTGTTCAATAAAACTAAAGAAGGTTTCTACTGGTGTTAATAATATTCTTGCAGCAAATCGGGCTCGCGAAAAATATTTAAACGGAAATAAAAATGAAAAGGCGGTTAATAAACAATTAGCGGATAAGCATCACCTTGAGGAACATGTGACCGATTTCAGAGAGGATTACCGGACGAATAGGGACTAAACATATTACGATGAAATATTGAAAGATGTTGATGATTTGTGGCAGGATCTGAAAGCGAGGCATCGCCAAATTATATCGTGCTACTATTCTACAGATGGACTCAAAGAAGATTACGTAGACAAGAACGTCTTTAAACAAATACGAGAGTTATATCAGACAAGCTACAGAGAAATAGAGCGTAAAATGAATTCAAAGTTTCCTATAAGCGATTTGAATCATGGCAGCAATCAAACTTTGAACACCTCGCAGGAAGTGAAATCCATGGCTGTGAAACTACCGAAAATTACGTTGAATAATTCGATGAAGATTACACGAAGTGGCCATCTTTTTAATGACTTATTTCAATCATTGGTCGACTTTTATGATATGTTGGCACCTGTTCAAAAACTACAGTATCTAAGGTTACATCTTGTGGGTGAATCGGAAAAATTACTACGACCTTTTCAAGTAACTGATAGCAACTATACTGCAGCTTGGTCCACATTAAGAAATCGCTATGATAACAAAAGGATACTCGTGAATATACAGATTACAGATATTGTTAAACCAAAACACAATCTCACATGAATCCGCCACGGGAATAAGGAAACTACTCGATACAACTAACGAATGCCTGCAAGCTTTAACGAATATGAGGGTGGAGGTTGAAGGCCTGGACCCCATTTTAGTTTATCTGACAGTGCAAAAACTTCCATCAGAGACTCACTAGTTATGGGAGCAAAGTATAGGTTGCAACAAAAATATTCCATCATGGGGAGAACTCGCGCAGTTTCTAGAGACAAGATTTAGAACACTGGCAGCTATTTCAACAAAAAAAGGTCAAAGTTGACAGGATCGAAAGAACAATTATAACAATAACCAAAAAATTAAACAAAGTTCATATAACTTATTCGCTACTACATCTGCACTTTGTGTGAATTGTAATGAACCTCATCATATAAAAATTGTAAAAAATTTTTAAATAAAGAAGTTGAAAAAACAATAGAATTAGCAAAACTTAAGAATCTGTGTTTACATTGTTTAGGTAATGGTCATAGATTTTCGACTTGTCAAAGTAAAAGTAAATGTATGTTATGTAATAAAAATCATCACACCTTACTTCATCGTACGTATGAAACTTCCCGAGATTTTCAGCCACTTAGAATGATACATACATGGAAACAATGACAACATACCAGGCACATCTTTAAATGGAGGATCCTCGCGAGCTGATCAGATTTCACCTATACAAAATGACATCCAGTTTCAGGTATACGCAATTAATAAAACGAATCAGTCGTCGCAAATATTGTTGGCTACCGCACTTGTCAAAATAATTAATCCGATTTCTGGCTGCTCGAGCTTTAATTGATCCGAGGTCCCAGGCATAATTTTTAAGTGAGACTTTGGCTCAACAAATTGGTTTGAAGCGGAAGGAAATCTGCGCACAGATACATAGTGTTGGAAAAATATCAATTGCTCAAATTAAATTTTCAGCGAAATTCTTCTTGGGCACTTTGAATCATAGTGATCTAGAACGGATTGAAGTCACTGGTCTATTATTGCAAAAACTCACGCACATGATACCAGAAAAAGTAGTGATTAGGAACGATTGGATGCATCTCAGAAGATTAAAACTGGCTGATCCAGAATATTATATTCCGTTTAAGGTGGACTTGCTTCTGGGTGCTGACGTTTATACTTTTAAATGGCGTGGAAAAAGGTCTAGTTGGTTCACCCATTGCCCAGAAAACAATATTTGGATGGATTTTGTCTGGAGAGGTACAGGAATCAAGTCACGCAACTAATTTTATCTCAAATTTCCATACATGCGATAATTTAAATGAAGAACTCAAGAAACTCTGGGAGATCGAGGAGGTATCCACTAAAAAATTACTCACTTTGGAGGAAGAACAATGTGAATTACATTTTATGAGAGGTTGAGACCTGAAAGTGATGAAACTTCTCTGGGAAATCACGAAATGTTGCTGTTAGTAGATTATTGGCAATGGAAAGTGCAAGAATATCTAGATATGGGGCACATGGAACAATTGAATGAAACGGGCGTTGATTTGGAACTTCCAAAGGATTGTTTGGCGTGATTCTCCGGATAATTCAATACAGGATTTTAAATTGACAACAGTCACTTTTGGAACAAAATCAGCTTCCTATATTGCAACTAGGGTTTTAAAGCTACTTGCCATAGATGAAGGTCATAGGATCCCTCTTGCAGCTGAAATAACATTGTCATCCTTTTACGTTGATGATCTTCTATCGGGATCAGATGACATAAAAACAGGTTTAACAATGCAAAAGCAATTAATTGAATTAATGAGAGCTGGTGGTTTTACACTGCGAAAATTGGCTTCAAATTCACAAGATCTTTTAAATGCTGTGCCGAAGGAACACCGTGAGATCAATTTTCCGTTAAATATGAGTGAAGATGAAACAATTCGTGTGTTGGGTATACAGTGGAATCCATCCACTGATCGATTTGTATTTGCAACTAATATTAATATGTCTCAAAATATAATATGGACAAAAAGAAATGTTTTATCTGAAATAGCTAAGCTATTTGATCCTCTTGGTTGGCTTGCACCATTAATCGTTTTGCCAAAAATGATCATGCAACGATTTTGGCTGTCTGGAGTAGATTGGGACGAGGAAATAACAGGTGAAATATGTAATGACTGAAAAAAATATTGTGATGGATTTCAAAAAATTCAAAATATTCAACTGAATCGCTGGATTTTCTATACAAAAAAACTGTAATTCGATAGAGATGCATGGCTTTTCGGATGATTCAATAAAGGCTTATGCAGCAGTAGTTTATCTTTGCGTTACAGATTCAGATGGTAAACGATATGTGAGTTTGATTGCAGCAAAAACTAAAGTAGCACCGATAAAAACAATTTCACTACCCCGACTTGAACTAAATGGCGCTTTATTATTAGCAAAACTTATAAAATATGTGATAACTGCTCTCAATTTCGGGCAATCTTTTCATGTAAAGGCGTGAACAGATTCGGAAATAGTGCTGGCATGGCTTTGTAGCAAATCGCGTAACAGAAATCCATGAAACTCTTGGTGAAAATGTTTGGTCACATGTTCCGTCGAAGGAAAACCCAGCTGACTGCGCATCTAGGGGAGTTTATCTTTCAGAACTACAGCACAATATAAAGTGGTGGAAGCCTACATGGCTTAAAAAACCAGAACAAAATTGGCCACGTAAGAAATTAGCTAAGACAACTGATCTCGAAATAAGAAAAACAGTTTACTTATCTACAAATTGCCAGGACGTCAATGTGCTATCAGAAGTATTGAACAAACAATCAAGTTTGCAAAGATTATTGAGAATTTTAAGCTACATGCGAAGATTTATCAAAAATTGCAGAAATCCCTCAAATCAAATTAAATTAAAATGCATCACATCAAAGGAAGCCAAGGCATCGCTGTATGAACTCATTCGTTTTATACAAGGACAACGCTGCGGCTGAACGTAAATTTTTGAAACAACAGGGCTCGGTATCAAGCAAGAGTCGATTGGCTAAATTGGTCCCGTTTGTCGATACCAACGATATAATTAGAGTGGATGGTCGTTTACATAATGCAATTTCACCATATAACCAGAGGCATCCTATTGTTTTACCTGGAAATAGATTTACATGTCTACTAATTGATAAAATTCATAAGGAAACATTGCACGGGGGTACTCAACTCATGTTAAATTACTTAAATAGCATCTACTGGCTCTTAAATGCAAGAAACACCATACGACATGACATATATAAGTGTATAACTTGTTATAGGTGGGAGGCACCCGCTCAAAAACAACTTATGGCAAGTCTACCAATACCGCGTGTAAGAAAAAGTCGTCCATTTAGTCACACGGGTTTGGATTATTGTGGTCCATTCGAAATGAAAACACACAAAGGAAAAAGTCCAAAAAAATATAAGTCATACCTAGCTTTATTCGTATGTATGGTAATCAAGGCTATTCATCTAGAAATAGTCACCGATTTGAAAGCAGATGGGTTCATCGTAGCGTACCGATTTTTTAAAATGATTTTGTTGCGGCCAACAAAATCATTTTAAAAAATCATCATCTAATGCTGAATCAACTCAACATAGATATTACTGGCGCTTTTGAATCAGGTGTTATATTTAATTTTATCCCCCCTGGGTCCCTACGTTTTGGTGGTTTATGGGAGGCAGGTGTGCGTTGAACAAAACTGCACTTAAAAAAACTGTTGGCAACAGTATATTAACTTATGAGGAATTCTCAACATTAATATCACAGATTGAAGCATGCCTCAACTCGAGACCATTATGCGAAATAAGTAGTCATCCAAATAATTTAACCGAACTCACACCAGCACATTTTTTAAATAGTGATAATTTGATCACACCACCGGATTCTTCAGTATTGGATTTGAAAGTTAATCGTATGGATCGATGGCAACATTTGCAATTCCTACTTCAAATTTTTTTGGCACAGATGGAATAAGGAGTATTTGAACCGTCTCCAACAAAGACCAAAGTGGAATAGAAAAATTGAAAATATTAAAATAAATGATTTGGTTTTGATAAAAGATGAGAATCTACCTCCAACGAGATGGCTACTTGGAAGAATTATTGAGGTACATCCTGGTTCAGACGGATTAATTCGGGTAGTGCAGGTAAAAACAAAGGGCGGAATCCTGAAACGATTAATCGCTAAAATATGTTTGTTACTTATGGTTCGTGAACCGGAGCTATTTCAAAGGTAAGTATAATATTTCCACCGGAGCAAAGTAGGTTTTGTAGTTACCGTGCCTAACTAACTCAACTTGAATGCTACAACTACTTAATCTAACTAACTTCGACTAAGATGTTAAACCTACTTAAGCTAACTAACCTCAACTTTGATGCTACAACTACTTAGTCTAACTAACTTCAACTTAGATCTTACACCTACATAGGCTAACTAACCTGAACTTAAATGTTATGCCTACTTAGTCTAGACTAACCTCAACATTGGTGCTACGTCTTCTTAGCTACGCTAACCTCAACTTAGAATACTACTAACTTATAAATAGTTTTTTATAACTATTACTAATATGTATTATTTTCTTTTTCTTCACCCGTCCAACATCCTACATTCCTTGATTGCGAGTCAAGGCGCTATAACATCTTTTCCTTCACTTCCTTTTTTTTATCTTATCGTTTCAAGTGACATCATATAAAACCTAAAAGAATACAAAGCGACTTGAGGAAAGGCCTAAATGCAGAAACAATATAAGATCAACTTTTTGGAACGACTACTAAATCTTTAAGTTACCAATTTACACACTATTAGTTACCAACGATGTTCAAAGGCGATTGCAACGGAACCCAGCATCATTCACATATACAAAGACTCATCGTTCACTAATTTATGTTCGCATAGCCACCGACTATCAACATAACGAACATCATCAAATGCAGTCAACAAATCAGCAGCAGTAGCGTTCACTCACATGCCAGCATGTTTTCAGCATTTATCCACATACCTATCACCAGTCATCACAATTACTAATCCCTGCTTTAACTCATTTAACTGGAAAGCATCACTGGAACGAGTAGCCTTATATAAATCATTTTAAAACGGCTTCGTATTCTGCACTTTCAAAATTTAATGACAACAGCGTGCTAGCAATAGCAGTAATAGCAACACCAATTATTAAAATTTCAAAAAAAAAAACGTAATTGTCATCTTGCCGCTTCACAAAATAATTCGTTAGATTCAACACATTACATTTTTAAATAATTAATTATGAAAACGCAATTACACAATCCGGAGTTGATCGACACATGTATTATATTGTCAATCATTTCCATCGCGATGTCAATGCTGCCACGGCCGGGGGAATGTTTCGGCTTCACCTGCACCTAAAATGAGATAAAAAAAAACACAAAGAAATATACCTTTACAGAATTAAAATTGTGGAATACATATCTGAACAAAAAATAAAAGCCTATTTGGTCCTCAGATCTGTATTGATATTTTCATACCTATATTTTAATGCATTAACCTGAAAAATAAATAATACGCATGATTACACATACAATGCAAAAATTGAATTAGAAATCAAGTTACCTGCGATGAAATTTGGTATTTACTTGCTGTTTAGCAAATCATCTCTGCTTTAAAACATTAATCAATTAATCATCTTTGATTTCCTGCAAAAAGAAAGATATAATAAATAACCATGGCATTAGAATTTAAAAATAAAATATTATACTTACCAAATTTATCCATCTACTTCGAAAGTTTATTTTATTTACTAATTGTCAAAATAATTGGGTCACTATGTCAAGGCAAAATTATTAACATACATGTAGATTCCATCTACAAATCAAAATCTATTGTGAATGGCACAATTTGTAAATTTGGGTAAAAGTAGTCATATATTAATTCTTTGTTATGATACTAATAACAGATTGGCAAAACTAAAAGGTCATGCATAATAACATAACAGAAAGTTATGCTGTTAAAAAAGAAAGGTATATAATAATATTGAACATATGATCATGTAAAGTATATAAATAGGTCAACGCACTAATTGTTAATGTAGCACTCGGTTGTATACTGTAATTCACACATGTATGTGTGTATTATAGCATTATGAATTAAGGTAAAAAGAGTATTGCAATAGCAGATTGCGGTGTATTTAATAAAAGGCAAATTAACAAGAGAAGGAACGATGATGGCAAGATTTGGAGGCAAAAAGGTACCACTAGTTTTAAACATTATAAGAAGCAAGGACGGTTTTTTCCAGAAGTCATTCGAAAACAAGTATTCAATCAACGAGTATCATCATAACATACATACATACATATGTACATATTTTACTAAAGTTTACCTTAATTTCAATTTCATTTAAAGTATTAAATTCTAATTTCCTAAAACATTAGTGTGTGTTAAATTGTATTGAAATTTGTTAAAAAGCAACGATTTGTTTTATAAATATAAATTTTATTTAAATGAAAAAGTGTTGTTTCATACATTTATAATAATATATACAGACAAAAGACATTAATTCGTAATAGTGAATATTGAATTGTAAATAAATTAACTGAAATGAACAAATGAAACAATGTGTTCTTCATTGAGTAATATTTAGATTTTAAATTAAGATAAAATCAAAACTAAGAGTTTTTATGTATGATTTGTTCGACAAAAAAAGTAAATACTGCAGATCCAATAATTTGTGAAAAATTGTGTTGTGAAAAGGAGAAATTGAAGAGTTCGATAGCTGTAGGAAAACTTCAAGCATGTCCTTTTTATTTGCAATACCATTGCAATTCCATGTTGCTATTTTAAAATTACCTCGTGCCATCATTTACCAGGTCTTTTGGTATTCGATTTTTTCCCTTCGCTCTCTAAAATACTCAATCTCTGAGAGATTTTGTCCATCATATCTAGCATGTTCTGCATCATATTTTGCATTTTATACAAAACATTCACGTCACTGGCCCTTGTTTTATTGCTTGTGCCACCGTCATCGATTTTCGTTTGGAGAACGTCCTTGTATGTTACATCTTTTGAGACTATTCTCGAGGTGAATTGCCTTGGCGGTCGTTCAGAATTCTTCTTCAAGTTGTTGTTGCTGTTCTTATTTCTACGTTTTTGTAGTTCTTTAGCTACAAGGCATCCCCTATAGTTTGTTGGGTGGCCTCCAAGCAATTGGAACACTTTGCTGCAGTTCTCTTTGGCTTAGTACAATCTGATGTTAAGCGCCTACCTGCGTATTTATTTCGGTTCTCTCTGGCAAAATTTTTGTGTATGCCCATACCTCTGACACCTTTTACACTGCGGAATGGTCCTATCTTTTCGAAGTGTTTCTATCCTAACTTTCATCCTGTTTATTTGATTGATTGACCTAGAGCTTAAGTCTTCTTTTATATCTTCCGGTTTACAACTGCGGTGAAGATTTCTTACCATGACTTTTATTGGTCTGGTCTGCTTGTTTTCATAGGTGTGCCATTCTAGCCCAGATCCATTCATGGCCCTGGTAAGATTCCTGTAGTCTATTTCGGAATTTACAATAAGCTTAAATTGATTGTTATTCATCATTTTAACCTTATAAGTAATGTCCTTATTTTTTTATGTTGACTCTATTTGATTATAGTCAACCACATTACTTATGACTATTGGAGGCGGCCTAGAGTTTTTCGTGACATCACTTCGACTTTTAGAATCAGGAACATCCGCTTTCTCAGCGTTGATCGTCACCTGAACCACTTCCGGAGATGATTCCGCTTTTCTTTTTTTACTGGACCGCATTTTGCTTTAGGATCCAATCTGTTTCTCTGGCGAGTTCTTCCTCATCTGTTGAGTAGGCGTCCAACATTGACTTCACCTGCTTTGCTTTTGGTGCAGCGTCTTTTTCTTTATGACTTCTACCATTAGACTTATTGCTTGTAATTTGCACATATGTATTTCTCTTTCTTTAGCTTCTCATGCTTAGCCCTCAGTTGAACCTCGTTTTTCATAGCCACACAGAGCTAGTATAGCTAATTGTCAGCATTCTGATCATCACTTTTTTTGGTTTGAGCTTTACACATGTTTATATCCTTATTAGTCTGTAGAGCTTGAGTGTTAGGTAGTCCACCTTCTATATTTTTATTCTTTTCTAATTCTTTTCTAAAATCCGCACATCAGATGTGGGTGGTGAACGCCAGGTTTTCGCGTTCCTCCTGAACAGATCAATCAAATGCAATAAATGGCTCTCCCCAGAATCCGTAGAGCCGACCTCCGAAGAAGGTGGATTCTCCAACGTAGTTGAATTACCACCTGGGTTATTAAATCCTTTTACAAAGCAAAGGTAGCATTTGTATAATTAAAGAATGCTTTAATCTCCAAGGAAGTAATACTTAACTATCCAGATTATTTCAGTAAAGATTTTGAATTGACAATGGATCCTTCAAACCATGCGATCGAAGCAGTCCTATCTCCAAACACTTCGAAAACTATAAAATTAGGTTCACTCGAATAATGGTGAAAGATATAGATATGAAAATGATATCATAATTACAAATCATAAAAGCGCCCGTAGAAATTCCGCAGGAAACAGGACACAAATTATCCAGATTTGTTATTTTTCTAAAATGACCAGCAAAATTAAGAATTCGTTGCAACGTGTACAGTCTACAAAGAAAATAAGTATGATAGGCACCCAAATAAGCCTGAGATAGCAGAAGCAATATTCTCCACCTTCACGGGACATATCTTATACATCGATATTTTCTCAACGGAATCAAAATTAATCACCACTGACAGAACTCACAGAATTCCTTCAAGCGAAAATTATAAAAAGTAGATCAACTGAAGATGTTCGATTGCTTCCAAGAGATTATTGTACTACTATGGTGTACCGATATATGTGCGATAATCGATAATGAAAAGTAATTGAATTCAGCTATTAAATCATTGATCGTCATTGATCGAATCAAAGGTATAATGGCAGATGAATTAAAAATCAGTGTACACCGTAACAACATGTAAGAGCAAGTCAAACGGAAAAATTAAAATAGCGCATTCAACACTTGCAGAAATTATGCGTTGGCTGAAAGAGGAAAATACAAAACGAAATTTGGAAGAATTTTATGAATGATTATAGCCATACTATTCGTTTAATTACAAAGAAGAAGCCGATCGAATTATTTCTAAGAGGGATATCAAATATTTCGCTAATATTTCGAAAGTACAGAATAACCCACATGACAGATGCTTCTTTCCAACGAAGCACTCTACACCCATATTTGCAGCAGGAAGTTCAGCAAACGTGGGATTCTTAAACGAAATCGTGCTACTTTGGATAAAGGGTGCTATAGAGGGACGTCGGATCTTTTAACCTTCTCGAAAGTGTATGCAAATGGATAGGGGGACCACCCAATCACGATGACCTCGTGATTATTAAAAGAAAACTAAAAAATCTACTATAAAATAATAATAAACACTACTTTCAAAGATAGGCTCAACAACTTTTTTTTTTTTTTTTTATTACCGAGAGGAAGGGTGAAAAATCTCGAAAGACACTGCCAGACGAAAAGCAGTAGTGTGGAACTTTAATCCACTAAAAAACACCCGCCTCAAAATAAACTATAAAACTAGTCGAAAACGACTAACCATTAATTTTGCTCTAACCTTTTTGATTATTTACAAGCTTTTGATCTGGCACAATAGCGTACTAAGTACTCATTGTTCCAGATAAAAAACTTTAAACTAACTCGAGAGGTCTCGTACGTTTAACAAAGTTTTTTTTTACGTATCCTAACAAAGTTTTGATTGTCAACCAATCGAGCCGCCTCGATATTGACATGGTTGGATAAACACATTTTATGATTGGCTGCTTGCTTTTTAATTTCGTCTGTGACACTTAGGATCGTGAGATCCCTGTGTATATCGGCATTACGGACATACCAAGGGGTGTTTACAATGTCCCGTAATACTCTATTTTGAAATCTTTGTATAGATTGGATATGAGTCTGCGCAGCGCAGCCCCATAACTGAATACCGTAAGCCCAGACAGGCTTAAATATTTGATTATGTATCAAAACTTTGTTGTATATTGTCAATTTGGAACGCCTCCCCAAAAGCCATTCGAACTTTCTGTATTCCTCCTCGAGTTGAGATCTCTCTTTCTTTATGTGCTCCTTCCATCTGAGCCTCGCGTCCAACGTCATTCCCAAATACTTCGCTGTGTTTGCGGACGGAATCAAGACGCCATTTATTCGAACCGAAAATGAATTGTCAATTTTCCTATTAGTGAAATTTACGTGTACTGATTTCACCTCGTTAAGTTTTATATTCCACCTTCTAGTCCATTTTGAGATCTCATCACTGGCCCTTTGCAATTTTTGTTTAGATTCATTTTCATTTCGTCCTATTGCGATAACTGCTGTATCGTCAGCAAATGTAGCTGTTGTCACTCCTTCCGATTCAGGAATATCACACGTGTATAGCAAGTATAATATCGGGCCCAATATACTCCCCTGTGGTACCCCCGACTTGATATCCCTAAGCGAAGAGTGCTCCTCTTCCTGTTTAACTCGAAATACCCTATTAGTCGGGTAAGATTCGAGTACGTCAACATACTGCCTTGGTAGTAATCGCCTAAGTTTTTTTATTAATTCACAATGCCAAACCTTATCGAAGGCCTGGGCTACGTCCAAAAATATGATAGAACATATTGTTTTTTCTTCCAGTGAATTTTCTATTAGGTCAGTTATTCTATGAACCTGATCTATGGTTGAGTGGTGGCGGCGAAAACCAAATTGATGATTCGGGATTAACCTTTTACTTTCAATTATAGGCTGGAGTCTTCTCAATAAAAGTTTCTCTAGCAGTTTTGAAATCATAGGCAACAATGAGATTGGTCTATAAGAAGTCGCCTTGTCTATAGGCTTGCCAGGTTTGTGCAGCATGATTATCTCTGCAACTTTCCAAATTTCAGGCACATAATTGAACCTTATACACGCATTTATTAGGCGCGTAAGCATTGTTATACCCCTTTTGGGTAATTCTTTCAAAATATCGGCCGTTATTAGGTCAAATCCTGGGGCCTTTTTAGGTTTAAGAGTCCTGATTTCTTCTATGACCTCTCTTTCCTTCACAATTGGAATAGTCACGCTATCCCCAACAAAAGCAGATTCCTCATTTTCATACACGCTCCGGCTGTCATGCGGGCGGAATCAGCAACTTAACACAAATTTCAAACAAAATCGTAGAAAATATAAAGAACCTAATACACAAAAGTACAACCGCACTTTTCATACAAAACTTGCAATACAAAATAAAATTAATTAAAGAGGAAATAATTAACTTCGAATTTTTTGCAAAAAAAAATATAATTAACCCCAACTCATTATCGAGACCTGATATTAACTCTCCCACTTAAATATTAAATAATCAACAATTCTCTCAAACGAGTAATAACGCGGAAGAAGCACTTTATCTATCTTCTAGAAAGTCCCCTAACAAATCCAGATATTTATAAGAATGTATAAAACCCCTGAAATTAAAAAGTAGGAAAGTTGTAAAACTCTACTATAGAGATATTTTTTTTTTTTAATTTTTATTTTTTTGCACCAAACAAGATGCTACATAATTACAAAAATTTACATAGCTTACAAAATTAACAAAAATATACATTATACATACTTATAAACTAAATTGAATTATACTAACAAAACATTAAATGAATTTATTACAATAATGTAATATGATACATATAAAAAAATAATAAATAGAAAGAATTTTATTATGTTATCATTTATGCTGAATAGGTATTTAATATTTATACGATTTAATAATTGTACAATTAGGTCATATAATTATTATTTGATACTGTACTAGGTCAGTAGTGAATTATGGATTTTTTTTTTTTGAAGGTGTATTTTGCTGGTAAAAAAATATGACTAAAACGATTGAATACAGTACAACATCTATTTATAAGTTCATTTTTAACATATTCAGTCCTATGTGTATATTCTTTTAAGAATTTAGTATGTCCGGTAGGTCTGACGTCGTTGTTGATAATAATTTCGTCTCTAATGAAGTCCACGTCTATTTTTCCTGTTTCCTAACAGGTAAAACAAGAATAGGTAAAACAAGAAGACAACAAAGACCGGCGTGACTCCAGATTCAACATATTCAGGGATTGAAGTCTAATTTTATATGAAGGAATATTGTGGAAGTCATTGGGACTATATTGGATTCTCAAAGCAGATAATAAAAATTGTTTTTGAACCGACTCAATTTTATTTCTGTGTACAGAAAATGCCGGATCCCAAATAATACTGCCATATTCAAAAACAGAACGAACAAGGGCGCAATAGAGCGATTTAGTTACTTCAGTATTATTGAATTCTCTGGCTCTCCTCTTAATGAAATCTAGCATTTTGCTTGCTTATAGAATCATAATGAAAATTGAAATTGAGTTCACTGTCCATAATAATATCTAGATAAGTAATATGGTCAATGCGTTCTAAAGTGGAGTTTTGAAGTGAATATTCTTGAAAGAGGTTTGAACGCTTACGTGAAAAACTAATAACATAACATTTTTTAACGTTAAGATCCAATTTATTAGTCTCGCACCAAGAATTTAGATGTTCTAATTTTAATTGGAGATAATTAGTGTCAGAAATATCCATTACAATATGATACATTTTCAGATCATCAGCATAAATCAGATGCGGAAATGAAGATATTGAAAAGAATAGGGCCTAAATGACTTCCTTGGGGAACTTCAGAGTGGACACTCTGGAACTTGACAAATTGGGTCCTTTCAGTGAAGTAAGATTTTAACCATTCCAATAGTGGATTCCTAAAACCAAATTGTCTTAGCTTATGCTCTAAGATAATGTGATCAATGCGATAAAAAGCTTTGCTGAAGTCTGTATATAACGCATCTACTTGAAACCCTCTTTCCATAAACGAAAGAATATCGGATGTAAAAATTGAAAAGTTGGTGGTCGTAGAGCGACCAGTCCTAAAGCGGTGTTGCTCATTATTTAGTAATGGGTTAACGATGGGTGCAATTATACCCGTAACTAATTTCTCAAGTAATTTAGGAATGACAGATTGAATGGCAATTCCCCTATAGTTTTCAACCGCAGTCTTATCCCCCTTTTTATGAATAGGTACGAGGTGTGAAGTTTTCCATATTGACGGGAAAAACCAGAGGATAATGATTTGTTAAAAATCAAAGTAAGCGGATATGATAAATTGTGTCTACAGTTATGAAGAAGTATAGGTGGTATAAGGTTCGGTCCAGGTCCTTTATTGGTTTCTAAGTCACAAATACCCTGAAGTACGTTGTCTACTGAAAGATGAATATCTTTTAAAAGGGGATGACCGTTATCTATACTAGTGGGGGTAAAATTATCGGCAAAAAAATTGCAAATCCTAGAGTTAAGAGATGATGTTAACCCGTTCTTGCTCATGGAGCTCGGATATCCCGACGATTTGCGTTTGCGTTCAAAAAATCTTTTCGGGTTCCCCAAAATCCAGCTGCCTATATTTTGGATATAAATATCATATGCCTCATTGGATTTTTTTTTGAATTCATTCGCCAACTCATTATATTCATTAATAAGTGAGTTATTGTCCCTGAATGCTTAATTTTATTGTGTAATTTATTTCTCCGATTATGTAATTGTCTTAATTTACGATCTAACCATTGTTCCGCCAGTCTATCCTTTTTAAGGATTCTTGGAACATGGGCGTCAATTATTCTGAACAAAATAGAGTAAAAATCGGAGACAATATCGCCTAAATTGTGCTGATGGAACATATCGTTCCAATTAATTAAGCTAAGGGCATAATTGATGCCGTTGTAGTCGGCGTTAAGAAAATCATATACAATCTCTTTATTGTAAGATTTAGAGAACTTAAGTTTGTTATTAGGAAATTCGAGAACAATTGCATTATGATGAATAGAATTTTTGAAAAGGCTCTCTTCGTCTGAAGCAAGTCGGACCCATATGCTGTCATAGGCATTTGAGAAAGCTAAGTCCAACCAATTACCTCTTTCATTTGGGTAACGTACCACCTGCTGCAAGTCGTTCCCATAGAACGTACTAACGAGATTAAAATCGATGTCTTCCATGATGTTGACTGGAAGAAGATGGTTATCATATTCATCGATGGTAAACGATAAAGCCGACCGATTAAAATCACCTAGAACAACTATCTTATCATCCTTATGCATTTGTGAAAATATTTCGTTACCTATGGTAAAGAAATCGTTATAAGAGGATTCGTCAGAATTAAGGAGAAAGTAAACCACTCCCACACAGGTATAGATTCTACGTGAGTATATTTTGATAAATTGATGGTCGAATGTGGAAAAAACTGAAGTGGATACCAATTGGTTTGGTAACCGATTATTGACGGCGATCAAAACGCCCCCGCCCCTGGATTAACCAGTAGTTGTATAATCATGATCTTCTCTGTATACAGACCAATTACTGTCAAGTATTTCTTCATTTTTGAAAGAATCCTTCAACCACATTTCCGTAAGAGTTAAAATATTGAAATTGCAAGATTTAGCGTCAATAAAGAGATTTTTAAGCTCTCCTCTTAAACCGCTGCAATTATCAGCGGTTACCTCTCAGGAAGGAGGAGAGTGTAATTAGAGGGGAGACTCTCACTTTCTATGAAAACTTTTATGCTGAACTGAGTCTTGCCGTCATGATGCACTGTGTTCGTCTCGTTATGTAAGTAAGCTAGGTAAAGCTTAACGTTCTTATAGACAACCCTGTCTCTAAAGCGAGACAAAATATACGTACTGCCACCAGCTTCAACTGCCTTTTTTGTCATATTATTGTTATTGGTATTTTTATTCATATGATTGTCAGTATTATTGCTATTAATATTATTATTGCTGTCATTGTTATTACTGTCATTACTATTAGTATTATTATTGCTATTATTATTATTATTGTCATTAATATTATTACTGTAATTGTTATTATTATTGTTCTTATTGCTGGTATTGTTATTATTATCAATGTTATTATTATTATTAATATTATTATTTTGGTTGTTGTTATTGTTACTAATATTATTATTATTATTATTACTATTATTATTATTATTATTATTATTATTATTATTATTATTATTATTATTATTGTTATTATTATTATTATTATTATTATTATTAATGTTATTATTGTTATTATTATTATTAATATTATTGTTATTATTATTATTATTAATATTATTATTATTATTATTATTATTATTATTATTATTATTATTATTATTATTATTATTATTATTATTCCTCTTATTGCTGCCTTTATTTTTATTAATGTTGTGATTGTTGTTCCTATTTTTATTTTTGTTATTTTTTAAATTAATAGTACTATGTTTTTTATTAATTTTGTTAGTACTGTTATTGTTAAAATTTGTGTTTCTATTGTTTTCCTTTTTTCTACTGTTAAGTCTATTTCTATTATTACTAACAAAGTCACTGTTAGTAGAATTAGTGTCATGGTTAGGCAGTTTATTTTTAACATTAATCCTCCAGGCTATTTTCTGTGGTATCTAAAGATAATTTGGAGATCCAACAGTTAAAAATAGGCTGGGCAACTGTGGCAGGAGGCTTAGGGCCAACCAGATCGTTGGTGGTATGAGCAACGCTTAATGGTTCGCTTGGGTCAGTATCAGATTCAGTGTTTTCTTTCATCGCTTCCTTCGATACCTCAAGCAATTCGACATGTAGGGACTTGTCCATTGTTTTGGTAATTTTCTCATCATTTTCTCATTTGAATTTTATCAACTCGTCAAATTGAGAGCTAAGGTCCCTTATCATGCCATCGAGGTTTGCGAGACTGTCGATTTTGTGGTTGACCAAAGCGATGTCATCCTGGGCAGAAGCTAGTAAGTTATAAGAAGTGTCGTCAATACGATTGACACGTGTATCCAGAGCCGATAAGATTTTATCTATATTTTCGGCAACAATTAGCCGAACCCCGTCAATCTTGTTCTCAAGGATTGATGAGTTGAAATCCGGTGTCTGCTTTTTGACTTGACTTCTAACAATCACCTTTATTTCTTCCAAGAATGTTGACACCGATTTATTCAACATTTCAAAATTACTCTCCATCTCGTTGAAGCTGACTGCGTTGTTTTTTATGCAGTCCACATTCCTGGCTATTGAACCCTGGAAGTTATTATTTATTGCATCGATCTTATGTTCCAGTTTGCAGAAATACTCGTCCAACGATTTGTTGACTGAGCAACAATCCAAAATGCACTATACCAACCACGTGGAGCTCGTAGTAATGTACCATGGAAGGAATTTCTACAAAATCCCTTGCATGACATTACTTCCATGCCTTTAATACCAGCTGACGAAAATTGCCGGTGTGTACTGTATATTTTTTTTATTTTGTTTTATTTTTTATTTTTATTTATTTGATATTTGTTATTTTATTATTATTTCTTTCTTTAATTGCGAAAGAAAAGAAAGTGTAAAGTGAATAAAATTTTTTTATAATATTTTAAAAAAAAAAAATTTTTAATATTATTATTGTCACAAGGTTATAAAGTTAGTTGGGTCAAAGTAAAAAATTATTAAATTAAATAAAATTAAAATAATGATTCGAGTTGAAAAACTACGGATAACTTTTACGTCTGACCACGTTGAAAACAGAAAACATCTATTATTGAATAAAGAAAATTTGTAAGGAATAGTAGGCTTTTATAAAATAATAAATAATATAAAAATTTGTAAAAAAGAACGAATTGTAAACGATTACTCTACTTGCAACTGGCCATTGATGCAGTGGTTATGGCACCGGCCCTTTAACCGAAGGGTCTCGGGTTCAAACCCCGGTCAGGTCACTATAAAAATTATATTCAAAATTATAACTGAATATACAATACTTATAAATATTATACAAGTAATTTTCATATTCTCATAATATTCGATTGTAAAAAAAAAACTAAGAAAAATATACAATAAATATTAATAAACTTAAATATTTAATATTGAGATAAGACTACGGCAGGCTACCGTAAACCTAGTTAAAAATATCTCCACAATGGACCAAGGGCATTATATCATACACTATGGTCTTCCTAGGAGTGAACAAAGGAAAAAAAACTCTACTTATCAGCCCACACAGCTTAGCGATCAATGTTATAACCTGAAGTAACAAACGAAGACACGAAGGAAATCAAATTACTGAAGTTAAAGAAGGATAACTGAGCGGATCATAAATTGTAATCCATCCATTGTAGGCGCAATAATGTTGTTATTCGTGGTGGTGTTTTTTCTAAGAAGAAATCGAGCAAAACTTGTAACATTTCTGCGGCAAATACAGAAAGCAAGGAAGGGAAAGGGAAGGAAGAAATAGAGCTTAAAAATCAGAATATGGAAGAGAATATAACATCAGTACCCCCAATATCTAGTTGAAACCTCCCTAGTGAAGAGATGAAATCAAACCAGCTACTCAATCAAGAATTATCACTATAGGTAGCCAAATTGGACATTTAGTCTTAAGAGGGGAGAAGTTAACGTTGCGCATTATTTCAGACGTTAACCCAATCATCTTTCACCGAAAAAATTATTTAAAAAATTGCGAAATCATCAACACAACAATTTTCGGTGTGAACTACCTTCAAAATTGGTTCATATAAAAATTCTTTGAACGGTCACGTTACGCCTATATCAATTATGCTGATAATGCAAGTAGAGCGATCAGTAATTAAAATTAAAATTTTATAAAATCATTCATAAGTATTTTGTACTGACAAGTGAAAAATAATAAAAAATCATTTTGTTAAATCAAATTGGAATATCGTCTTTTATTAAACTAATTTATTCTGGTTTATTAAAATATTAATTCTAGTAAAATAAAGTAATTGAGGTAAAAGACAGAACCCAGCTATGTTCTATAACCTCCACCATAGAACATTAATTTATATTATGTGTATTCTTTAAGAATTTTGAAATTTCGCCGCGGAAAATCTTTTTAAATTTAAATCTTACCAAAATGCTATAAAATCGTGCTTCGCAAAAATTATGTGTGCCAAAAAAACAGAATGGAACATGATAATTGCAGCAGATAAATAAGTTATTGCTTAATATGTGGTTAAAGCACACATTCAACGGTATGTAGGAAGGAGTTCCGTTTATGTAAAATTTTTTAACTTCATTTGTGGAGGAAAGGAATGGTTATATGGTATTAAATATTTATCTATTGCGTTGTTTTACTTACTTTATTTAGATATTGTGTACAAGAATGTTTAAAAGATTTACCTTCACCTATTGTGCAAACGAATTGAATGCACACATGTAAGCATCAAAAATAATTTTTTTTCTATTCTATTATAATATAAATATAAGTGCATAAAATTAATGCAGAACCATTTTGGCTATTAAAGTTCCAAAACAATAAAAAAAGTTATCTTCTTGTAATTTAAAAAAAGAAACATTCTTCAGGCGAGCATAGATCTAACCTTCTGGTTCCCAGGCTACCACTTTATCCGCTGGCTAAGCAGTACCTTGAATTTTCCTTTATAATTCTTTATTTTATTAATATTTTGTATAACTCTTCAAAAATCATCCTATTTTACATTATATATATAGCTACTTCTCAGGTGTACTTCTGGAAGGGCTAGGGACATGAGACAAAAGGCATTAGAAAGGGTTTCTAGAGTCCCAGAAAAAGCAAGAATTCTTCCCGCCCTTTGCCTTTAACCTCTTCATCCCCCTTCACCCCCTCCCAAAATGGTTTGTGACCGCTTGTTACAAAATGTAATTAGATCCTTTTTATTTACTTACTAGAACATTTTTACCGACTGTATTGTTTATTGATGTCGGATTATGTGATGGCAACAAATTTTGCATATCGAGTTTTCGGTGGGAATGCACCTCTCCATAGTAGGGAAGTGTAAGTAAACTGTTTTTAGCAACCTGTCGGTCCGTCGGTCTGTCGGTCTGTCGGTCTGTGTGTGCACGCGTGTATCTCAAGTTCTACTGAACCGATTTTGATGAAATTTTTGGCACGGATTGATCAACTTTTGGGATATATCAGGCCTCGGGAACTGCACTTTTTAGCGGGCCTGTTTTACATTTTTTGAACATTTTGAAGAAAATATTCAACCGATTTACTTGAAATTTCATATATAGGCTTTGCTCGATCGTCCGCAAAAATTCCTAACTTTTGGAAGAAATCAGCAACTGGACGTTTAGTAAAGTAAGTTTGTTTGCAGGCGACACATTGACTTATATTGTTGGGAAAAACGCCGATATAATTGAGCAGCAAAAAAATTCTGATATAGATAATTTACATAAGTGGCTGTGTAGGAATAAATTAATGCTGAATACCAGTAAAACAAAAGTTATGTGTGTGAATGGTGGAAACAGAAACATTTCGGTTAATGTGGATAATGTAGAAATAGAATCTGTTCAAAGTATAAAGTACTTAGGAGTTTTTGTTGATAACAAATTGAAGTTCGATGACCATACAGACAGCATTTGTGGGAAAATATCCAAGAAAATAGATTTCCTGGCGAGGATTAGAAAATCGATATCTGAAAAATGTGCTGTAATGTTGTACAATAGTCTAATTCTTCCACATATAAACTATTGTTCATCTATTCTATTTATATGTAGTGAAGAAAAGAGGAACAAATTACAAAAATTTCAAAACAGAGCAATGAGAATCATTTTAAAAGTTAACAAGATTGTAAGTATGCTTTAAAACTTAAGTGGACGAATATAAACCAAAGGTTAAATTTTAATGCATTGCTGTTTATTTTTAAAGTTAAATATGGTCTACTACCTGAATATTTGCAAAGAAATTTGAACTACGTCGGAGGAAATTACAATTTGCGAAACGTTGGTGATTTCAGACTGCCACTTTACAAAAGAACTAGCTTGCAGAACACATTATTATTCAACTTTTTACCAGTACTGGTGAAAAATGAAAACAATTTTGCCACATTTAAAAAAAGTATCATTAAATTATGTTGATTTTTGCATTTCTTAACTTTATGTACTTTCTTTGTATTCTTGTACTTAGTAGATCTCTTATGTATATATTAATTCTATATAGTAATTGAACTTTCAAATTTATTATAAAATATTGAATTGTTAAATTTTTATAGATATATAATTTCTATTTACAGTTGATTTGATATAGATTAGTATATTGAATGTACATATAACGAATGTTTTATAAAAAGTTATCATAACTAATAAATAAATCTAAAAAAAAAAAAATAAGTATTTGTATATTTGTGTAAATTATGACTCTTTGTGGAGTTTTTTGTTTTGTATTTATGTTGCAGACTGAAGCTGTCGGAACACAGGATTATCATTCTTTCTTGTAACCATATCAAGGTTTATGATGTACAATGTGCAAAGCTTATTACTATTTGTTCAGGAGGTGGAAAATAAAAATAATTAAAAAATTGAAAATTGAAGTGGTGAAAGTAAATTAAAATTAATTCTATTTAGAAATATCGGTTACACTCAATA